TTGCCTTGCCTTGCCTTGCCTTGCCTTGCCTTGCCTTGCCTTGCCTTGCCTTGCCTTGCCTTGCCTTGCCTTGCCTTGCCTTGCCTTGCCTTGCCTTGCCTTGCCTTGCCTTGCCTTGCCTTGCCTTGCCTTGCCTTGCCTTGCCTTGCCTTGCCTAATAAAGGGCTGGCTTATCTAAAGCCAGTTGAGTAGCACTTGAAATGTTTTTGCTCTATGAAGCCTGATGTACTTATATGATTCTGTTTTCTTCAAGTTTGTATTTTGTTGGTCGAACGCACTTATTGTAAGTCGCTTTGGATAAAAGCGTCAGCTAAATGCAATGTAATAATGTAATGTAATCTATAATGGTAAAATCTGTTCAAAGTCCTTTTTGATATCGTGACCAGGAGGAAGTCTGCAGTGGCGTTTAAGGAATTGAACCTGCATCCAGTTAGATGATTTTGAAGTAATTGCTGTAAATGGCAATGCAAATGTTTCTCTAGGGATAGTATGAAAGGCACCCACAAGCGTATTAATTATTTCCTGTTTCACACCGTAGCAAGTGAACCCAGACAGATATTAAGCTGATATTTACTTGCTGCCACCCAAATGCATTTACCAATAGAGACAGAATCAAAGCAAATGAAAAAGAAATTCAGTAGGAAAAAGTAAACAGTTAGAATTGTTAGTGAGGAATGAGGTTGTACAAACACTTCTGTGTCCTCGAGCCTAACCGACTATTTGCCAAGACAGATGGCCTCTATTCAGATATAAATCCCATATAAACAGTATATTTGTATGGATTATGTTTCACTGCTGCTTAGCACCCATAACATTGTCCCTAATAAACTATATCACTATCTGTCCAACATCAAGCAGGGGCCACAGATTAGAGGTATTGAGCGTATTCTCCATGGGTAAGGAGAGAAAGCCAGGATGCCACTGCTGTCATTTCCCATCTATATTCATTTTTTACGAGTGGCAATACATCTGAAGCGTGGTTGAGATTAGAAAGCTGTCCGGTTGGAAATGAGAGCCTAGTGTATATCTTGCTGGTCAAGCCTCCTGGGCTACAGGGACAGGCACTAGCAAGGACGAGTAAGCAGCCCCTAATATTTAGAGGGTGATAAAACTTAGAAACATGCAAGGGCCTTCTCATCCCTCATGATCCAAGGGGGTGATATGTTCAAAAGAAAAAAGTGTTTTTATCCCTCGGTGTTCATTATAAATAACAGAAGAAGGGGTCTGCTTCACTCCTGACTCTTGGTATCCATTATTAGGCTTAAACGGAACCGCTTATATCAGCCAGCCCTCTGCACTCAATGTAAGAGGACAGAGAAAGCTATCTCGCCTCTACTGGCAGATGATTGTCAGAGGCGATACGAAACCCAGCAGTGTTAGATTTTCATCACAATAAGGAATTGATCCTAGAATGTCATCATGGCTGCTGTCTGCGTCTGATCACCTTCTGTTCAGCATGGTTAAACACAGAGATATGGTGGCGACAGCTCTGTCCATATGTACCCAGACCAGAAAGAAAAGCTAAAAAAGTTACATTCATCTCAAAATCTCGCTAATTAGTTTTATAGATACAAGGGATTGCATTTTAAAGCTTATTTGTAAGGCAGTAACACTTAATCTAGTTTAGGGCTGATACAAAATTCAAAATAACGTTTCTTTCAATGTATACATTCAGACAGGGTTTCTTGTTTATTGTAGGCAAATATATTCCATTTCATACTGGATTACTTTTTCCCAATGCAATCAGTGTCAGGAACATTCGTAGGTGTGAATATCAAACATGTTTAGTGAAAGAGAGGAGTGCACTTGTGACATCATGCCACACTTAACGCTATGGCTCGCTACAAATAATCAGCATTCAAGTACCATCCTCTCAGACAATTTCCACTAACAGGTATTGGAACATTGAAGGTGTAAAGCAGAATATTGTTTTGTTAATAATATCTTCGATGAGCTCAAAATGAAAGTTGGTCAGTTTATTAACGTAGTCTAATTCAGTTCAAGGATTCTGTTTTAAGAGAGAAGGAAAAAATGCAGTACTATCATGTGCCATTGGATTGAATGTGTGGAATATGTAAACAAATTATTCCTTTTATAATCACTATTCCCATCGTTCTGCCATGCTTGAGATTTTTTCCAATCGGATCACAAAGTGAAGTTGTATAACTCTAGGAATTCGGAGACACGCTTTGATAAATGGTCTCTGTCAGATTGAAAACGCACAGAGGACTACAGACTAGACCAGCCATTATAACTAGACCTAGTCACCCATTGGTTTGACTAATGTCTTGTTTTCATTGAGCAACAAGTGACTTTTTCTCAACGAGAACATGGAGCTTGTGGGATTGCAGAAAATGCTGGACTGACCAGAACAAAATAGAGGGGTCAAACTTTAAAGAAAATTAGAACATTATGCAAATGAGACTGACATCCTGTGACCAGTCATTTGCAATCATTTGCATGCATTACTTTGAAATCTTTTTTTCCTCTATCAGTTAATATTGAAATAAATTGTAAAGGTTAACCCAGCCTTTAATGTGAGGAACATCATGCTAACATTTTAACATCTATAAAACCTGTAACAGTTCTCATTACCAATGACCACACATATGCACCTGCCTGTCTCACACCTCCTGTGCTTTCTCTCCTCCTCGCTTCATTTGCGGATATCTCACTTGAGGCAGACAAGAAAGAAGAAAGCATACAGACGCAACTTTCCCCTCCTCTTCCTCCCCCTTTCTCGGAATCCCTCCTGAGCAGAGCGGAGCGGACGGGGAGCAGATAGAAATCACAGCGTGAGTGTGCGTTGAGGCTGATAGAGTGACCTTCTGGCTTCACCGGTGGGATTTTTTATGATTTCAGCACTTCGCCTGGGTATCACAAATAACACAGAGCCGTCAATAATATTTATTTACATTTTTCCGCCGAGAAAAGTCCTTTTTCAACATTTTACGGTAAGTGTTTGATAAGCTTTCTTTTAATTTTCTAGGTTTTATCCCTGGAAACCCATTTGAGATTAATGTTTATTTTAATAGAGTAAGAGAAGGTGTCTCTCATCTGTAAGTACGTCCTTTCTTGAAAACTATTATCTTAATTTTTAGACTGAGAGCACCTGCTAAATAGATAGACATTTGGTTTTATAAACTATCCGAGAGCTCTTAATAAAAGTAATTGTTTCTTCAAGTTCTGCAGATGTATAGTTTTTGCATGGCATTGCATTAACATAGACCGTTACTGATCTCCTTGAGCTATAACTTTTTTTTCATTATTTTAATGAAGCAATACCACTTCAGAGAAGATCGCTTAATGATAATTAAGATGGTCAAAATAAGCTATTTGAGATCTTCAGGCAATTAGAAATCAAACATAATCTATTTTTAATATGAGTTTGAACTTAATTGCTTTGTGTTACTTTCTCAACATAAATTTGGTGTAATCTGGCTAAATAGATATTTTAATTGGTTTTATATTATATTGCGGACGATACCGTGATGTACTGTGCAGGTTCCTCCATTAAGGAGGCTGTTGTTGAATTGCAAGCTGTTTTTAACATTATTCAGACTCAGCTCTCTGAACTAAAGCTTCTTTTAAATGATGATAAAACCAAGGTAATGCTCTTTTCAAAAGCTAAAAAGACACTAAAGCCTGTTTTAGATATTGTAACTACGCAAGGAATACAACTTGAAGTGGTTACCTGTTACAAATACCTTGGTATCTGGCTTGATGATTGTCTCACTTTTACCATCATGTCAATAACCTGCTTAAAGCATGGGTTAGGTTAGGTTTCTTCTACAGGAACAAGTCCTGTTTCTCGCTTGAAGCCAGGAAAAGGCTAGTCACTGTGACCTTTTTACCTGTGCTAGACTATGGTGATTTGATGTATATGAATGCACCTGCCAATTGCCTGGTCAAGTTAGATGCTGCGTATCACAGCGCACTGAGATTTGTGACAAACTGTAAAGCATTAACCCATCACTGTACCCTGTATGCAAGGGCTGGTTTGCCTTTGCTAAGTGTACGGAGGCTCAGTCACTGGTACATTTTCATATACAAAGCCATGTTAGGGAAACTTCCATCCTACATCTGCTCCCTGATCTCACGGCGAATTGTAAGTGGCTACTGCCTGAGATCGCATGCTGTAGTTTTATTAAATGTGCCAAATGCTAGGACTGTCTTAGGGAAGATAGCTTTTAGATGCGCAGCTCCTCTGTCTTGGAATAATCTGCAATTGAAATGGAAACTGAGCAATCTGGTGCCATTAAATGTTTTTAAAGCTCGGTTGGATGCTACTCAATCGGAAGCTGTTGGTACCTGTTTATGTGGATAATTATGTAAATTGTAAATCCCTGTAATGATGCTGTATGATGTCCTTTTTGTTGTTCTGTTTATGTTTTTATGTTTCATGTGGAACCTACTTGAGCAGGTCTCCCTTGAAAAAGAGATCAATGATCTCAATGGGATACACCTGGATAAATAAAGATTTGAAATGAAATGAATATTTTAGCTTAACCATATGCTTGCAGGGGGATTTCAGTGACCACTTTTGCAGCTAATCAAATGCCCCGTCATCATGCTGAGTCTGTGATTTAAAAAAAAAGACTATGTCATCATATATTACATTCAGGTCTTTGCTAGATATAATTACTTCACCCACTAAAAAATGTTGACAGGAAATATCATCCAAATGTCACACATGCCAGCATGATTTATTATGGCTCAAGCACTTTATGTAACCTGTTTTGATCAAGTATTGTCTTCTTGAACCCTGACCCTGCATGAGTAATGCTGAGGGTACTTTCTGTTCCAGGTGAAAATGCGCTGCCGTTTCCAAAGAAGATTCACCCTGTTCAGAATTCAACAGTCAAATAATTGAGCTAGTTTTCTTGGAATTATTGGTACCATGAACCAGAAAGCATCATAACCTTAAGGCCTAATTTGCTGGACCAGGTTCTTTTTAAATACTAGTCTTTCTAAACCAGGAAAAGATAGTTTGCTAAAACATGGGCGACTCCAACCTCAGCCACATGGTAGCACCTTGTACAGAGATGCAGGATAATCTCCTTCATTACATGGACAGCTATGATATGGACTATGGAATCCCTCTGGATGAGATCCCAGACACCACGCAGGGCCAGGCCTTCTTTGTGGCCACCATTGTTATTGGAGTGGTGCTTGTCTGCATCATGCTTGTCTGTGGGTGCGGGAACTTCATATTCATTGCCACGCTGACACGCTACAAAAAGCTGCGCAACCTCACCAACTTGCTCATCGCAAACCTTGCCATCTCAGACTTCATAGTGGCAGTTGTGTGCTGCCCGTTCCTCTTGGACTACTATGTGGTGAAACAGCTCTCCTGGGATCATGGATTACTGCTGTGTGCCTCCGTCAACTATCTCCGGACGGTGTCACTCTACGTGTCCACAAACGCATTGCTTGCCATTGCAATTGACAGGTGAGTGTGTTACTTCTTTTATTTTTATTTGGCTTTGTGCAATACATCGAGTAAGTCTCAAAAACCTTCAAGCATTGTCTACAGAGATTTAAATCAATAAAGCTTTCACTTTTTTTCATCTGGCAATATTCTCTCCTCAAAGAGCATCACAAAATCTATAATAATAAAGCCTGTTCTATCTTTGACTATATGAGATTCCAGCTGTACATTGTCTTGTCTATCCAAGATATTTTTTAAAGATCTGAAGACCCGTTTTCATTTTGCTGTTTTTTATTGGAAAATACAGTTGACTGACCTCTCAGATTAAAGCAGGAAACTGAAAAAAAGGTCAGTGTTCGAAAATAAATATTTCTCACATGTAATCTCAAGTGATTAAACCAACCTATGATCAACCTCTAACAACATTTCAATATAGCTGAACTACTTTGCAGCTGCTAATGAGAAATACACTTGAAGTTTACATGCAGTGGTTCTACTCCATACTGGTTCTTCCTTTTATCACTGATCAATCACTTTTATGGCACAAGCTGGCCCTATACTGTAACTCAGATACATGTTGATGTATAACCTATTAAAATAAATGATTTGTGTTCAGTGTACACTATCACTCATGCTTCAAAGGCTATGTAAATAACATGCTTTAATTCATTATTAACTGTTAATTAGCCTTAAAACAGTACCATTGCTATCTGTTCAGTATGCAACAGGCACAGATCCTCTCCTGATTAATTTGTTCATCCTTATCAGTCTGTGCCAGGTACATTATTTATTTAGTCTCCCTCTGGCACATGCTGAAATATGCTTCAAAATACATCAGACACCAACCGGTTTGACGAGCAAATCATGCTGTTTTACATACCAAACCAGAGACCCTGACAATCCAGGCCAGGGGCTTAAAGTCTGATGACTATCAAACTATTCCGTCATTTTCTCAACTACACAAGTGTCAAGTTTCGTGAGGCATTATTTGGCAAATGATGCCTCGAATGAGCGAATGGCTCCTTTGCCCTCCCAACCTGGACATTGTCCATTTTAAAAATAGAACCTCTTAAATACACAACTGTCAAGTTTGGTGAATGAGTCATGCAGGTCTGTGAGGCTATCACATTAAAAAAAAAATCTGTCCAGAGATAGACTGACAGCTGAATAAGTACTTGTGATAAGGATTTATTGAAGAGACAGAAGGTGTCTGTAGGAACACATTTAGCAATGATGAAACACACAGACTCCGAGGATGAAGATCAAACCTTTGTCCTGTTCACTAAACATCAAGTAGAGGGTATTTCTAGATATCATCCTACCCTCAAAAGCATTGGCACCTAGTATATTATAAAGTATGATACCTTATATCTAAGCTTAAGTTTTGGAAATCACCTCCAAAGTTACAGATAAATAGCTGTTGGTAAGAGAAGGAATGGGAACCCTGAGGCATTAGTGAGCATATCAGCCAATGTCAAAACTCAATCTGCTCAATCTTTAAAATCATGCTTAAAAGTAGGCTTTAAGCAGGTTAGATATTGTTTTTTCACAATAATGTTTTCAGAATGTAGGTGGGAAAAGACAAGGGTCGTAGAAGACATATAAATAGAGTTATAGAACCACCATATTTTTTATGGATGAGCAAATTTAGATATTTGAAGGGTTTAGGTAACATCACATATACACATTCTAAAAAGGCCCTTTTCACAAAATACATTCTAACCTCTCCCAGTAAAAAAAGCACAGGTGCAAATGATAAAACTAATTATGGCTGGGTTCTGCATGCTGACTCACTACTGTCACAGGGACACTTGGATATGACAAAGCCAGTGTTAATGTGATTAGAAACACCTGTGCTTCTCTTTCTTCAACAATTAAAAAATGTCTGCTGTGAAAAAAGGACTATATTCAAATAAACTAAAAAAGGCTCCTGGGGGTTACAAAGCTTGATTAATTATGCTAAAGAAAACGACCCTTGGGAGAGCCACAGTTAATCCACACTGTATTGCTGTAACGCAGTGGTTCCCAAACTTTTTCAGTCGGGACCCCCTTGGGTATTGGAAATATTTTCGGGACCCCCCAACCCGGTTCCCATCTATATTGGTAGGATTAATTGTATATTGTTGTAAAAACATTACATTTTCTCTGCTAATAATAAGAAGATACAAAGATTCAACTATAATTTTATATTTTATTATGGATTACACATGAACAAAAGTGCTTGTAATAGATACTGTGAATTAATTTGGCCTAATTAAAACTGGTTGGCCTTCTTCCCTGAGTGGTAGATTTTTAAATTCAAATTTCTTTAAGGAAAATATATTAATTAATTACTATTTCTACTGCAGGTTGCAAACGATCACATCACTTTACCATTCCTATTCCACACTAGCTTATCAATTACTTGTGTGTGCTTGCTTTCCCTTGCAGATCTTCTCAAACCGGGGCTGTTGTTTTGAGACTGCCCCTCTCAGTTCATTCTCAATGTTCAGCTTTGATTTGTATTTCGTTTTGATGGCAGCAACAGCAGAACAAGCCTATCTCACATAAGTAGGATGTTGCAAAAGGCAGCATTATGCCCACAGCTCTCTGACCAAAGAGATATTTTCGAGCAGTGTTTGTTTAAAAACAACGTCATCTCAAGGTGCTTCACAAAGCTAAAAGGAGAAAATAATAAAATAAAAAAATCTTCCCGCGCCCCCCCTGCAGTACCTCCGCAACCCACCAGGGGTCGCGCCCCACAGTTTGAAAACCACGGCTGAAACGCATATAGCATTTCACGTCACAATTAATGTAATTAATTGTCTGGTCAATTGCCTGCACCTGTGTTTTTTATATAAACTTCTTAAATCCAAGGTTCTGTAGGCAACAATGCGTCTTAGAGACTCAAATGGATACCATAGCATTTTGCCTTTCTTGTAGGATACTTGAGTACTTTTGCAGATTATCTTTCCTTTAGGCTTCCCTCCCATGTTTTGTGCAAATAAAGTTCAGTTTTATCAGCTTAAAAAAACACTGACTACTACAGAATCCAAGTCTCCCAAATTAAACTTCCACAACTACCTCCATTCCATATCCCTGCACTACATTGCAGTGTACACATTAATGTAGGGTGACACATTTGTGCATGAGGGCACAAAACATCCAGATTGGTTCACAAAGAAGCCTTTTAAAAATGTATGCCTTGTAAGGAGATTTAAATGTAATAAGAAGGCTGTGGCTGATAATGGTTGAGTGTGCCAAGTGATTATTATAAAACTGTTCATTCAATACTCCTCCTTACATAGTGTGAGCCTACTTATATTAACAACACACAACAGCCTACTGAGTGCAGACTATTATGGAGAATCCCCAGGCATGCTGCCAAGGTAATGGGTAATCGTTTACTTCTTAGTTGGTGGTGCTCTGTATTTTATTCTGTCTGCAAAAATTAATTGTAAATATATTTCAAGGCGGTGTAAATGATAATACTGCAGCAGAAAACGTATTGAAGTGAATTGTTGGTAATTTATAGACATTTTTTAATTATCTGCTATTTGAAGTGTATTTGTCGCTTTTTCATCAAATTAACCACTTATCCATCTATTGTTTGTTGACATTTAGCTCAAGATCGCCCACATTAGGTGCACTATATATATCAATGACAATCTCATTAAGAGGATGCTCTGTAATGATGTTGCTGATGAACTAAATCAGCAACATCATTACATGCTAACCTTTAATGGAGTGTGAAAGAGGCAGAAAGCCTCTAAAACTTTTTTCTACAATGTCTATTGGACTTTAATCTTCCATGACAGAAAGCTATTGGTCAAATCTATCGACTTCACATAGCACACAGACTGCTAAAAAGGTTAATTTGACTGCAATTTATTAGGAGTTGATTCCCTGCCATTCAATCCATTAATATGTCTGTGTTCTTCCAGGTACATGGCGATAGTCCATCCTCTGAGGCCTCGTATGAAGTACCAAACCGCCTACTTCCTCATCACAGGAGTCTGGATTGTTCCTATTGTGATATCAATTCCCTCAGCCTACTTCACCTCTGAGACCATTTATCCTCATGGTGGCAACTCCCCAACAACTCACAAAGTTTTCTGTGCCCAGATCTGGCCTGTAGACCAACAAATCTACTACCGCTCTTACTTCCTGTTTGTTTTTGCTGTGGAGTTTGTTGGGCCTGTGATCATCATGGTTATGTGTTACTACCGAATTTCCCGCGAGCTCTGGTTCAAGAGTGTTCCAGGTTTCCAGACGGAGCAGATTAGGAAGAGGTTGCGTTGTCGTCGCAAGACAGTGATCGTCCTGATCGGGATCATGACGGCGTACATCCTGTGCTGGGCCCCTTACTATGCCTTCACCATAATACGAGATTTCCACCCAACACTAATCTCCCGCCAGAAGAACTCATTGGTTGCTTTTTACATAATCGAGTGCATTGCCATGAGCAACAGCATGATCAATACCTTCTGTTTTGTCAGCGTCAAGAACAACACAGTTAAGTACCTTAAGAAGATTGTACTGATGCGCTGGAGGTCCACGTATGACCCTGGAAAGATTGTGGATGAGATGGATGTTAGGACTTCCTCCATGCCTGTTACAGAGGAGATTGAATGCATTCACTTGAGGTGCAGAGAAGAAATTCTTTAATCATATATATTGTGGCTGTTGAGTTACAGAAATGTTGATAGTGATGAGTTTATATTCAACAATTCTCTTGTGTTTAGATCACATTTTGGGAAGATATCAAGCACCACAAATCACAAGGAAAAGTTCAACCTTATACATTGATAAATGGGGCAACATAGTCAGTGACTAAGTCAGTATTAAATACAGGATTTTTCCTTGAGGTGTTATGATAATATAATAGTTGTGTACACTGTGACACTCCATTATTGTTAAAAGTTGTAGCATGTGTATAATCTATGACATAAGACTTGTAAGCTGCTACTGCCATAACTTATCTATGATATTTACTATAATTGTTAATTATTCTTTTTGTATTGTTTTTATCTTGTTTTAAAAGAGATTTGAGTAAGGTAAATTAACTTAATACTTAAGATATCCTTTCATTGACCACCATTGCTTTTGTATTTCAAGTGTTGTGTGTTTTCTAGGGTCCTCTATGTTTTGAAAATTCCGGGTTTTTAAATAAAGATGTGACTTTGTGGAATGTAGAACAATTGAAAAGGTATTTTGAATGTCTTCAAATAAGATGTATTTTCTTGGTTATTTTTCCTTAAAAAAATAAAGTATTGCATGCTTTCTTGGTAATTTAACATTATTGTATGTGCTTATGCTAATAAATAATGGGACACTGAAAATAAAAGCTGTTTAATTTATTAAGCTGTATTTTAATTTGCTTTTTTAATTCAGGGAGCCTTTCATTATAAAAGGCATATTTACCTCACAGCATATTGCATTGTGTCTACGGCATGCAAACAGATCGTCTTAAAAAACTACTTGGTCGAATTAATGCTGCATGTAACCACCAGCTAGAAGGAAATGTAATCATGGCAATGGGTGTGTAGAGACTCTCCTTCAGCGGCACAAGATTCATTATGAATATATAAATATATAATTTAACTAGGGCTGTCAGTCGATTAAAATATTTAATCGCGATTAATCGCATGATTGTCCATAGTTAATCGCGATTAATCGCAAATTAATCGCACATTTTTGATCTGTTCTAAATGTACCTTAGAGGAATATTTTTCAAGTTTTTAATACTCTTATAAACATATGAGTGGACAAATATGCTTTATGCTAATGTTTATTATCATTTCAACAATGACAAATATTCTCATGAATATTAAACACAACAACCTCTGAACATTACAAATATTCGCCTCAATTCAACCTGGAACCTCTCTCATACAATAATACAATACAAATGGTGTGTGTGTGTGTGCACGCGTGCGCGCGTGTGTGTGTGTGCGTTGGAGCTATGTGCAACTCAAGGCTCGAACGGGACGCTGCAATCATGTTGCGCGCACTATCCGTGCTGAGTGTGCTGACTTTTCGTACAATGTCCCACTGTCTGGCTTCCTGCATAAAGTCAAGTGCTCGGCGCAGTTGTGGCGAAATGTCGCTCCTCTGTTTTCATTTAAACAGCTCCTTATATCCGTTAGTGCAGCTAGCTAGCACCAGATGCTAACAACAACAATGCACGTAAGGTCTCTCTCTCGCTCGCTCGGGCCACACATACACACACCCTCCCGGTCCTCCCAACAGCCAGTCGGTGCCTGCCGGTGAGCGTGGAAGTGTGGTCTGCCACAAGCGGGCGGCAGGAGCGGGGCTGTCAGCATCAGCTTGTAGATGGTATTTTAAACTTGATGCGCTCTGAAACTACGGGGCGGCCGAGGAAAAAAAATATACATGCGTTAATCGCGTTAAAATAATTAGTGGCGTTAATTATTTTTTTGCGTTAACGCGTTATTAACGCGTTAACGTTAACTTGACAGCCCTAAATTTAACATATATTATTAATATACTATATGAAGAGCAGCATTTAAGAATGACCTAAAGGGAATACAAACCATGGAAGGTATGTCAACGTTTACTGTTGCTTTTAGTAATGTAAACTGGCTAACAGTCAGCTAACGTTAGCTAGCGCTAGCTCACTTTTAATTATTTCACACACACATACGGGTTTTGGGCCGAGGGCGACACCGTACTTCCGGTATCCGCCATTTCACACGAGGTGCAAGCAGAATATCATAGTCTATTGCCTTAATCAATATAGTCAACTCTAAAATACCACATATATGCATTGGCATGATAATATTATTGTGACAAGTGGGGTATTCACCTGGTGTTTCCAGAAGATAGACATAGATGCTGCCAAAATCGACCGAAGGCCACTTTCGAGGGTCGTAATTCCATACATTGTAAGGGCAATCCGAAAACCCACACAGCTCTAGTTTACGCTGGTAACGACCTAGAGCACACCCCTCAAGTCCAGAGATGTAATCCGAAGACATGCAGCGATTTCTTCGGTCGTTAATTCAGAAAAAACACCTAGTGCGCTCTGCCTGGCTATGTTAGCTAGCTGTTTATATTAGCACCTCCAGGATTTTTGCACCTCCAGAAAAATGGTGTATTTATATATATATATGGCGCGCGTTGCATTGTGGGTAGCTCGTGACGTCACTGTGTGTGAAAAAATCGGCAGTCAGAAACACAAATACACACACAATGTTTTCTTTCTTGATAACTTACCTTTCTATTCTTAAAAAGAGAACATGAGACCAGTAAACATACAAGCGTCACTTTTTCTTTCCTCAGTATGTAGCCGTAGACTGTTTAAAAGCGCCAATCCACCTTTATCAATCCAGACTGAACGTGGGCCACTCTACATCCATGGGGCCACTGCGCAAGGCTTCCGTTTTTTTTTCTTCTTCCTTGTTTTTAATGGCGGCTAACCCCAGCCTTTGTTGCTACTTGAACGTTTTCACTCATAACGATTAGTCACGTACTTTTTAAAAAGGAATGTTTTACAAGTCAAATTATCTCTGTTAAATAAATAGTGTTGGGCTAAGGAACACATTCATTATTGGCTTTTGTCAAACAGTCCAAGTTCCTGTTTTTCTAAATAATCCGGAGAATCAGGTCATGTTGACAATAATAAGTGAATTCAGTCCTAGTAACATCGTTTAAAGTGTCTCGTGATAAAGGCTGATATGGAATTTTTGGGTTCTTGTAGCACAATAACCATGATACATTACAAACTGCACATGATGATAAGAAACTAGAAACGTTTTACTTTTTTTAACATCCACAGAAAGCCATGTTAGCTATGCTTTAAAGTCATTCTCTCAGCATCAACTTGTAAGGTTTTTTTTTAAAATATACTTTGTGCACACGACTATTTTCTTTATTTGAAATCCTGAAACCAATTTTTTTATGGGCCAGCTCATATTTTACTTATCGGTAAGCAGTGGCGGCACCAGAGTATTTTTGTTGGGTAATCTATGGTAAGGCTAACCCATACAGTGGTGGGGCTCAAGTCAGTATTTGCAATGTAATCACATACACGCTATATCGCCCCCCCTTGACAGTGAAACGCCACGCGTTTAGATTATTTCCCTGTCTCAATCAAAATGGAACTGTATGAAATAAAACTGCACATTTGTCTTGTAGTAAATAAAAAGGGATGACTGTGAACGTGACGTATCATAGTACACGTTGAAGATCCAATGGGGATACTGAATGGCAGTTCCGATCGATCTCAATCAGTAATGCATGACGCAGACCAAACGTTCCGTTGCTCTGATTGGCTGTAGGTCTATTCAAATTGCATTCAGAGGCATTTTGATCTGACCGTGGCCGCGCTGATATTATAACGCCAGAGAATTTCCACACCTTTTAGTGTTTAAAACCCCCCAACTACTTGGACTATTCCTTGCACCCCTCTTCTAGCATAAGCCCGAATGGTCTCAACCATATTGCATCAGTATTGTGCACTTGTTGTTACAGCAGGATCAGTTTGTGTGTTGTGGACACGACCCGTATATGTTCGCAAGCCGTGTTCTCAACATTTTGCATTTTGCTTATTTAATTTAATTTGCTTACTTTAACATAATTTTTCATGGTGGGGCTAAGCCATTTCTTGGTATATGGCTGTAGCCTACCCCAGCCATACCCTGGCGCCGCCACTGTCGGTAAGCATCTGCCTCTGAATTAAAGTAGCACAGTCATGCTCTTTTCACGTTTGTTATATCTAATATAATACTTTATATTTTACCAATATGCATTAAACATCCCAAATAGTTTATATTTAAATGTGGTAGAGGTAAATATTCTATAATCAAGTTATTAGTAAGTGTTTTATTATTTAGGAAAATAATTAGCTCTCAAAGATATGATTTTGCTTTTGAAAATAAATCCTCCGTAAAGATCCTGTCTCATTCAGGTGTGGGATATTAACAATAACTTAAGTGAGAAATAACATCGTCTCCTGTCAAGAATCAGTGCAATTGTATTTAACGACAGGGGACAGTTCTCTGATGACCAAAAAGCCCTCATGACAGAGACCAAAGGTGTTTTGAAAGACAGTCATCTGCACATTAATAAATCAGTTATTTTGCTCAGGGTCTGCAGGTTTTTTCAGGACACATTTCATAAGAGAGACACACCATGCACAGGTTGCTGATGTTTAAGGAGATGAAGGGTCCACAACCTTCCCTGAATGAAGAGGGAGTTGACAAAACGACATATTAGCAATAGTTCATTCTATCCTGTTACCATAAAGGAAATGTCTCAGCGATTCCAACGTCATTTACACAGTAAATAAAGGTGAAATTGACAAGATGGCAACACATCTGGAGCCTCAAAGTCTCTAAAAGGAATTTCCTTGTCTCATACACAAAGGAAAATCTAAAACAAATGTGTATACATCTAAGTGTATCTTGATGCAGATGTGGATTAAGATGCCAAAAAATAACTTCTAAACAATTAGAGAGAGAATTCCCAGGAGGATTGATAGTAAACACAGAGATTCCTGGACCGACGGTTCAAGGTGGAGAAAGAAACAAGAGAAAGAAAGAGCAAGAAAGGTACCACGCTGTACTTGTAGGACACAAAGACAGAGCGTCAGAGATATATAATCTACTTCACAGGTATATTGTGACCATCATTTATAAAATGTCAGGCATGC